AATTTTTTTTAAAGGAAACATAACAACCAAAGCACATTAGGAGGAAATGACATTGCCTTCAAGAGCCATTCCCAAGTGTTAAAATTGCCTTCTAATGCACACATTAATTGCAGACTGTTTACATTTAATATGAAAGTATAGATCCTTGTTTTACAAATCAATAATGCCAAGTTTGTTTTTATTTTTATTTTTGTTATTATGTACAGTGATTTATTGAATAAAGAACAGATTTAAATTTTTTGTGTTTATTATAAGTTTTAGTTGGTAATTTTAAGTCGGACAATGGTGCGCTTAGAAACACCCCGTATTAAGCGCCTAATAAATGTTATGTATTATTATCATTATTAAGTTTGACCCCCATATTAACTATTAAGCCCATTAAAATAAATTTAGTATTACAACGATTCAGTTGAAATTCACATTTCAATGTTTTCAATGTATGCTTCAACGCATACTCTAGAGAGAAAGGGAAATTCATGTTTAAAGATAAAGACCAGTTATGGTCATGCGATTGCATTGTGAAAGAAACATTGTGGAATCGATCAGAAAAGGTTGATCATCTAGCATATAAGTATTGGTGTGTCCTGCAAGGTTCTGGAATCATCAAAATGAAAAGAAATTTGGCCCAGTCTTCGTAAAGTTACAAGCACTGTACACATAAAGATGTATATGGGACTACGCACATGTGCGCGACACATGCGTTTATCTCTCACATCCCAATAGATAAACTAATTTACCAAATATATCAATTAGTAGGCGGTTTCCCGGCAATTTTTTATCATCATATATTAGTCAAAACATATTCTTTCACATGATTGATAATAAGTGCTTCCATTTCAATTTTTGAAATTGGGGCGTTTCCAATACTGGTCTTTACCTTTAAGTGATCAACAAATGTTCACAATATCACAGTAGAATGATCGATTACCCAATCATAAGATTTGCATAAAAGTTGTTGTCTCATCTTTTAAACCATTCATACTTTCTCACAAACTTTCTGCTTTCCTCCAGAGCTTTCTTAGCGATCCTTCTTCTCATAAATTCATTATTGGACTTCACTTTAAATGTTATCAACCACCAGAAAATATAGTCTACCGTATACATTCAAAATATAAGCTTCAAATATTACTTCTGGCAAGTCAAAAATGTGTTGCAAGTTTAGATACATTCTCAATTTAACATAATATTTTTATTAAAGGAGACTTTTGAGTAAACTAGTCGAAGCACCCATACACACTCGCACAAAATGGGCATGCAAGGTACCCAAGTCTTAAATTATAGCTGTGCACATATCATTTATAGCTGTGCACATATCATTTACAGTTGACTGGTATATTTTAATTTCTCCTTCAAGAACTGTTAAGCAAAGAATAGAGGCATGCATGACTTGGTAAATTTTTACACTGGGTCATTTTGTCTCTAATCTGTGCCATGCTGTGCGTGAGATAGCTGATATGATCCAGATTTATAAAATACTTCATGGTATTGACAGACTCAGTCCAGAACATTTTTCAAGAGACCAGAGTACCAATTCACTCGTGGACATCTGCTTACCGGTAGACTTTTCAATACTCGCCACAAGCTAAATGTCAGAGGCTGTTTCTTCAGTAAACTTGTTATTAATTTATGGAATAAACTGCCAAAATCTCTAGTCACTGCACATAACATAGATATTTTTAAGACTGGTTTAGATAAAAGCTGGCGTGCCAAATAATTTTATGTAACTTGACATCCATGCTTTTTGCACTCCGTTTAAGTCACAAACTGTCAATTGAACTTATATTTTGGAATATGACCGGGAGATCTACAGGATTACACCTCACTCCCATATATCAGATGATGATGATGAAAATTAAATTAAAGTCAGCCACAACGTGATGAATGCCTCCGATCTTCCATAGCTTGATTGATGGAGCATAGACACCTACCCCTTCCCCCCTCCCTGCCCCCCAACTATCATTCATTTGAATTTGGTTTACCCTTCATGACGAATACCAAGAACAATCGATGAAAACATTAAGTCCCCTTCTCACCTCGGTGTTTGTAAGTCTTCCATGGAAGAAAGGGAGGGCCTCAGCATATTCAAAGATGGATGGTCTCGCAGACATCTGCGGTACTCCTGGCCCACCCCTCTGCATATTCTGAATTCGACCACTCTTTACGTCGCACCAGATCTTCTTGCATCTGTGTCTCTCTTCTCTACACTTGAATTAAGAAACAAATCCATAACAAAAGGTAAATAATTCCAAGTCCACCTATAAAGATTAAATCATAATTTGAGATCATTTCTTTACATTTCGGATATCCCCCGGAAGGGCTCAATGAACACAAACTCTATTATTTCAATCCAGACATCATGCATCCCTAGATCCCTGTCAAAAAAGTTGGTTTGGAGATAATGATAAATGATAAATTGGAACATTTTCAGTCCTTGAAAGTTGAACTTATGTTTGAAAACAAAGTGTGTAGCACATTTGTTGCCTCAATCCTCTATCTGTCTACCTTACTGAGGGTAAATCTACACAGAAACTGTAACTGTTATTCAAGGTAAAGACCGGTATTGGAAACGCCCCACTTTCAAAAAATGAAATGGAAGCTCTTATTACCAATCATGTGAAAGAGTATGTTTTGAATAATACATGATGATAAAAAATTTGCCGGGAAACCGCCTACTAATTGATATATTCGGTAAATTAGCTTATCTATTGGTGTGTGAGAGCTAAACACACGTGATGCGCACGTGTGTGTAGTTCCATATACATCTTTCTGTGTACAGTGCTCGTAACTTTACGAAGACTTGGCCTAATTTCTTATCATTTTGATGATTCCAGAACCTTGCAGTACACACCAATACTTATATTAGGGTGTCTGATCGCGCACCCGATGTTGTGTGCTAAAATTCTTCCCATAGAGATTACACGCATCCCTATGCAGCCTACGTGCATTGCGCGACCATGCAAAAAAAGTCAATTTTTTTTTTTCAAATCGAGATTCAAACCTTTATCAGTTGTGATCCTGAAGGTGATAATCAATGAATGAGGTGTCATATGAAAGAGCAGGTGAATTCCAATATTTCCAAAGGGGCGTAGCCCCCGAAATTCTAAAAATATCTTGGTCAAAACAGCAATTTAAACATTGTGTCCTGGCTAACTCTGAGGTTTGTCACTTTTGAGATATGACGCCCCGATCGATAAGTAGTCCCAGTCCTAAGGAACAATTCTATGTGATTATATTTTCGCTAGCCCCCAGGGATCACAACTGATAACAGTTTAAAAATACCCTTCTCGCTATTTGGTGGATCAGCTAATTAGGAGGCGTGCGCTCCGCTCAGTCCAAACCATGGTTACATCGCGTAACATCTCCGCGCACGAACGAAACCCCAAATTATAGTGACTGAAATTATGGTTGGCAATTCCCTCGATAAACCCGGAAGTGAATACACGTTATAGTCAATGGCAATATCGCGGAGACACGTGCGTTGTCTCCGCGATATTGCCATTGACTATAACGTGCATTCACTTCCGGGTTTATTGTGCGACGAACGCCAACCATACTAGTCAATCGCACATGTCTCGGAGACAGCGTAGCTCAAGCTGCAAGTCGCGGATTGGCTTAGCAGCATGCGTACGATATGCATACGCTTGCATATCGCGCGATACAGCTGTTTGGCTAAATTTAGCAAAACAACATCACTCTGCGTGGACGTCTTTTTCGTCGATTTTGACCAAAATGATATGAATATACCAGCGTGTTGGAGGGGCTGTAACTTTTGATAGAAACATCGGTGAGACTTGAAATTTGAAATGTATTATTCTGATAACATTTTTTATTCAAATATCAAACAAAAATGGTGAAAAACGATCCCAAATTGAAAATTGAAAAATCGTTCAGACACCCTACTTATATGCTAGATGATTAACATTTTCTGATCGATTCCACAATGTTTTTTTCACAATGCAATCGCATGACCATAACTGGTCTTTATCTTTAATCGATGTAGAATCTTTGCTACATATAAACAGTCATTTAACAATTATGCAACAACAGCCTTACATGTAGGATGGACCAATGCTCTTGAATCTCCTTAGGAATGAGTAGACACACTCGACAGACAGTAGTAAACACAGCTTCATACTTCCTGAATTCACGCACACAATTCCACAATAAGACTTAGATTAGAGCAGAGTGCACCGAGACGGACTGCACTGTGGAATTAGAAAGCATACTGCAGTGTACGCACAATCACACACAAAAAATACATGACTTCGCCTCGAAAATAAAATGTCAGAAGTAGACACAAAAATAAACAAGAATTAAAATACTGTACCTCGACGCCGAATGGGAAACGGCATTCAAGTTTTGGGCTGATAGACTAGATTTAAAGGAAAGTGAACAGTTCCAAAAGAAACAGGAAAACTACGACAGAGCATTCACACCAAGTGGCACGCGCACTACCACACTCGCAGCTCAAGTAAATAATGCATGTCGTGCCCGTCCGCCCTGTATCAAGTCCCTGGCGTATATACCGTCATGCATGAATACCGCTGCTGTAATACGGACGACACGATCCGTGTGAGACGCAACAGGGAAATTCCCGTAACTAATCCCAGTGGCGAATATAGTAGGCTGGCAAGTGAAGGTCGTGGGCCCATGCAACAAATACTACCACCTCGTAAATTATTCATGAATCAATATTGGTATCAGGAATAATAGTATGATGGTCTTGAGTGTCCATGAAGCCTTCTATTTTGCCTACGGATTTAACAAAAAATATTTGTCAAGTAGCACTGACGAATAAGTGTCCGACCATAATTATAAGTCACAATTTAGAAGATTAAATATATTCCTTGAAAACTTCTTCAATTTGCTGTTTAAAATCAACCAGAGGCGAGGCTCCGAGACGGGGGGTAGGGGATGTAGTGCCATGCCATTTTTCAAGTACCCCTAAAGTGCATCATTTTACATTAGAATAGAGCCCCCTTTCTTCTTCATATAGTAGGATGGCAAGTGAAGGTCGTGAGTCCATGCAACAAATACTACCACCTCGTAAATTATTCATGAATCAATATTTTCTTCTTCATATAAGTGCCCTTTACCATGCACCTCTGATAACTGCCCCCTTTCCCTCTGAAAGTTGTCCCTATTCAAATATTAGAGATGCCCTTTTCCTTTGTAAGAAGTGCCCCTTCCTCTCTTAATAATTGCCCCTTTTCATATCTGTAAGGGGTCCTTTTATTTGTTGGCACGTGTCCCCCTTTCCTTTCAAATCAGTGCCTTCCTTTAAATAAATGCTTTTCCTATCACTATAAAATGTGCCCTAATTTAAAGCGACTAAAATCAGCTTAATTTCCCCCAAAATCGAGCATAACTGATATACTTATGTGGCGTGGAAAGACGAAATCTTTTTCTTTGGCGACCCGTCACATTTGCCTGCATGTCTTGCTCTAATCAATTATATTTTCCCTCCGTCTTCTCTTGCTCTCTTTTATTTTCCTTTTTATATCACATTCTTACTTTCATTCAGATTTTAATATTCTCTTTAGATTAACCTTCAGGGGAGGCAACCGGTTGATAGCCCCACTTCAACAAACCTGCACGCCTTCAAAAATTGTTTCAAAATTCTAGTTTCATTCGAAACTCACTGGAGACTATAATTTGATATTGAGGGCTTAGTAAGTCTTAAATTTAGTTAATCTTTTAAAACTACATTCACTTGTTTTATCGTGTTTAGTTGTTTTAAGTTGCTTTTTTTGGTACGATATCATTCTGACATGAAGCGATAAAGCCGTGCCGGTCTTTGTCGCTTCATGTCGGTAGAGCAGCGGTCTCGATCACAGTGACCCGGGTTCGAAACCAAGGCGATACACTAAAGCCCTTTGGTAAGGCATTAATCCTCATTACCAGGTCCCTCATTACCAGGTCCCTAAAGCCGTCGGCCGTCTGGTTGCTTACTTACAAGCATGTATGCTTTCTTAGCAGTCAGCCCGGCAGTCAGGTATTAAAAACAAAAACACCACCATTCATTCATAACTCTACGTCAAAAAAGCAAATGACGCATTGTACGTAATTAAATCCCACTGCACACGCGCCATGTGATAGTGACGTTGTACAAAAATGATCACAGGGTGGATCATGGGCAGTGCAAACGATGCTTCTAATAACTGCCTCCACGGGCGCGGGGCGCCGTGATAACGCAATCAAAGTGACATTTCATGAAAAAGGAGACTGACACCTGGGCCCGTGTTCAATAAACTTCTTAAGCATGAAATGTTTTTAAAAAAGCTTTAACAAAAGAAAATTCTGCTAAAATGAAATAAAAATTGAATATGAAGGGCCCATATAACGAACGTTCACTCGAGTCCAAATCTATAAGGTTGAACAGCGGATTAGCTGTTGTAAGACAAACAAGACAGGAAAGTTTTCTGTCTTTTGTCTAATCGACTACGTATGTGTTCCGAATTTGTGCGATTGGTGTTGAATGTATTATGTTTGGACTGTTTTATTCGTGTGTACGATTAGCATTCGTAACTCCTTGTTAAATCACTAGGGCTCTACGAACCAAACACGACAAACGACACATCTACACGTAGGCGCGACATGCTAGACGACAAACGACAACATTACGCGTAGGTGCGACTTGCTAGACGACAAAATAATGACAAAACAACACGTAGGCGCGACATGCTAGATGAAAAACGAAAAAAATCAGGTTCACACCATGCACGATATTCGCTTAAAGGTCGTGCGCTAAAAGGTCGTGCAGTTGTGGTGTCGTGTCGTTTTGTCGTGTGTCGTGTTTAGGGTTCCAAAATACAGATTAATAGTAAAACGGAAACCTAAACTTTTTCATATACATGACCTAACAATCTAAACTGTTAAAATATCTTAGGCCTGCTTTGTGTATCAATTACTTTGACGGTACGTAGGCCTATGTCGATACTAAGGAGCAAAAACTGCTTATGGATTAAGGATAATCCCTTTCTGCTAAATTCCACTTTATTGTCTCGAGCTATATATAGGCATATTGTAAGCTTTAAGAAATACTGCTTAATGATGGCTCTACAATAAAAGATCAAAATGAATCGAAAAAAGTATAAGAATCCTTCAGACAGAACTTGAGTGTGTCAAAGGATTTTTAATCGCGCACCAGCGTTTAATTGTTATTAGTAAAGCTTAAATTATTAAATTATTAAAGCTTATTAAAAAAAATCCACTAATATGATAGAATTGTAAGCTATCATTTTTCCACTAATAGGATTAAAGGTCTGCCTAACTCCAACAGAAATAAACAAATACATTTGACTGCCATTCAAAATGTAAAAAAAGCTAAGCAGGCCTTTTTCTTCAAGCACTTGCTAATTAGTCCTCTCAGTTAGAAATTGTCGTTATTAATGCATACAAAGAAGTACGTATTTATACAGTACAGACATTTGAAAAAGTTGATACGAGAGCACCATTTAAAGATTTAGTGGAGTTCTGTTCATGTGAAATCGATCAGAAATAGTTGATCATATACCATATTCATAAGCATTGGTGAGTACTGCAATTAAGGTTCTGGAATCATCAAATGTCAGATAAGAAAGTTGGCCCAGTCTCGGTAAAAGTAACAAGCACAGTACACAGAAAGATGGGACTACACAAGCATGTGGCATAAAAATGAGGCCCACATTTATAAGTTTTTACATGTCGTATTTAGAATATGAAGGCATTTGAAAGGCCAGGCTTTTCAAGGAACATTTTTCCTCTGATGTTCTTCTACACTTGCATAATAACAATGAAAACGCTCACAAATTGTTTTACACCTCTCCCCTGAACTCAACCTTCACTTATAAGTGAAGGAAAAGATACGTTTAATCAGCAACACATTCCATAAATATTGATATTTTTTTGTCGAAGTTAAAGTTCCTTTCCAGTCGGAAGGAAATCATTAGAAAGGACAATGCAAGTCAATAATCATCTTTTGAAGATACAGCTTTTTTAAATAACATGATATTCCAACGTTAGGATATGGTAGCTCATTCAATGTGGACATTCTTGTTTTAAAGACTTAAAAAAGGTCAGGAACTTTGAACGCAGAAGTTATACTTTGTGACCTTATAACCTGCACATAATATCCAAATTATCTTGATTGTGTAAGGCCATTACGATTTAGTAGATTTTTTTGTATTTTGTTATCAGAGTTGAATAACGTATTACTTAATTCAAACAAAATATGAAAAAACATATAACGTCAACAAACCCTATATAGTTTGTCATTATATGAGAGATTTTCTTTTGTTATGTTTTCTTTTTTCTTTTCTCTGGATATGCCATCAGAATCGTATGAATTACCCAGACGGGATTGGTGGATTTAACTTGCAGTTGATGTCTTACTGAAATTTGTTACTTATATGTTGCTATTTTACTCATATTTCACGTAAATGCTATTAATGTCAGCTCATCTAGTCGTTGTTTGACACGTTAATGATGGTAAGGGAACAAAGGGTGATCTCCAAACTATTTTCACCCCTCCCCACCGGCCCAAAAATCCTAGATCCACCTGTGTACATGGTTGTTATGGGAAATAAGCATTTATACAACATAAATTGCTCATAAACCAAAGATTAACATTTCAATGATGGTAAGGGGACAAAGGGACTATCACAGAAACGAACAATGATTTTAATCAACAAATTCCATTGGCAGATCGTGGGGAAATCATTTGAAATTGGAATAGGCTTTTTGTGATTTTCTCTTCCCAAATTTGATAAAATCTTGCTTTTAAACCAAAGATTTATTACCTTCACAATTTCATGGTGTTTTGCCTACCTCCCCAATTGAAGGCGTTTACACGTATGTGCGTGTGTGCGTGTGTATGTGTTATATTCTCTCGAAAGGATTGAGTCTGATTGGTGGCCATGCGACATCACAAACTCAAAGCTCAATCAGGCTGTTAATAGAACCAGAATAAAATTATCCTTGTAGAGACCCCCCCCCCCTTTTTTTTTTTTTTTTGGTGCCCGTCTCCAACTTTAACATACCCCCGCCGCCTCTGGTTGAAAGGTCTACTTTATTCGAGGTCGAAGCGGGTGCGCATGCGCGTGTGTGTACGGTCACGTACGCCTTTCGTGCATAATATTTGCATATGCGTAAAAGTGGTGGTGTGTGCGTGTGTGTGTGTGTGTGCGTTGTGTGTGCGCGTGCGCGCGCACGTGTGTGTGTATGGGTGTGTGGGTGTGTATGTGGGTGATGATGGGTGACGTTAATTTTGAGTCGGTGGTGCGGACACACGGATGATCGTTTTACAAGTTACATATAAAGTGAGCGATATGAAGTTCGATCAGTTTCCATGCAGCGATGCACACTAGCCTGACAATTCCACATCAACTCTAGATCTCTCCAGACATTTCTTCACATTTCCAAAGGTAAGATCTATCTTAATATGAATACTTCTATCATGCTTATTTCAAGGCCCTCTTATTCTTCAATACAAGGATAATATATCAAGTTGTAAGTTTATTATTAACCAGATCACGTACATTTAATACTGAAAGAGATAATTCAGCACTGACAGAATCTTTTGTAAGAAGTTGCTCGACTCTGGCATTTTGTTTTTTCTGACATTAATGGTTTAAAATATGTGATGAAATATCCGTCAATAACAATTATTTACTTTCTCACACAAAAATCAAAGTAAGGTCTGTAAAACGTTTTATTTTGGCAGCCAGTCCTTACAATTCCTTTATTCAGCTTTCCTTTTCGTATTTATTTCTCTCTCATTTCATTCATTGAATAATCATTTTCCATAATGATTCAGTAGATTAATAATACTTCATTGAACATTTATAGATTTTAACTGTATTTTCAATATCTTCTCTGATTAGATTACATAATTCTAGGTCAGATTTTATTGTTTAGTCTTTTTCGCCCTTCATAGTTAATGAACCGTTGGAATACGATTCATGAACCCATACGGAATTATGAAAAAACGATATAATTTTAACCGTTGTCATCTATAAAGGCTAATATTTATACTAGGTAGTCAAAACTTAATTTGTGTATAAAATGGCTGTTTTTGTTGTTCTTATTTTACCATTTTGTATTTGTCAGGCAGGTTCTTCTCGTTGCACATGTTTTCGTAGTACAAAATACGTCCATTCGTCACCATTTTCGATAAAAGCATTAACATATCGCGCTGTGGATGGAAAAGAAATTTCCAATATAGTTCATTGATTCAGCGAAACATCACAAGAGAAAAATCATGAAGAAATTAGTCCAACAAAGTACGGCACGAATAATGCTTCGCCTCATCTTGCTCTCTCTGGTCATGGTAGCTAATTCATCCGAACATACAACGTCCGAAACCCCATTGATCCATCCATCTGATTCAGAGGGTCTATCTGAGACACCGCAAACTTTGAAAAGGAGTTCAGTCAATATCCTAACTACATCATCCGCAGTCGCCACCGAAACGAATACCGGGGCTTCCTCCCAACCATCAAAAACAAGTGATGTAATGCATACGGGCGCATCCAGTTCTGATGGTTCTGATCAGTTACAAACCATTCATGAATTCGTAAGCGAGTTTACCAATGTCACAATTGTCCAACCATCCACAGAATCGGTCGCCCGGCTTGATACAACCATATGGGTGTGGCGATTCTCGTGGACATGGGTGACTATCCTTCAGTTAATCATTTCATTGATCGGTATTCTAGGAAACCTCCTGGTTGTCGTTGTAATGAGAGTTCGTAGGTCCACTACTAATTCTACAGACATTTTTGTAGGAGCTCTAGCCTTTTCAGACTTGTTGACATCATTATTCAATATTCCTATTCCAAGGGCACTCCAAGTGCCTGATAACATTTTGGGAGCGTGTTATTGCCGACTGGTACAGACTAGTTGCCTGATATGGATCTGTGTCGTTTCTTCGAGCTATATCCTGGTAGGTGCCTCTTTTGAGCGCTTAGCAGCAGTTGTCTATCCTCTACGCATCAAGGACATCTTCACAAACCGCAGGGTTTATATCTTTATCATAATAGCATGGTTGTTTTCATTTGTATCATGTTCCTACTACTTACTGTCATTCTTATTTCAAGGTGATCTTTTGTCCCGAATCTATTGTGTACCCACCAATTCCGATACTTCTTTATTAATAATAATTAATTCGTTCAATTTCGCCATACGTCTGATGGTTCCTACTGTTCTGATGATGGTTTCCCAGACAGCAATGGCCATCTTACTGCATCTACAATCTATTCGATTGCGGCAAGCCATGTCTTGCGGTTCTAAGCAGTCCTATCATATCCTGGCCAGGAATCGTGTCATCAAAATCATGTTGGTAGTGGTCATCATCTTTATTCTATCCTGGTCTCCAAGTCAGATCGCGTTTGTGGTTGTCTCTTTCAGAGGAACGGCTAAAGCCTATGTGAGCAGCAGCGTCCGCCAGATTCTTAACTTGATAACCTTTATCAACTCGTCCATCAACCCTTTTATCTACGCAGCTCACTATCCCAAATTTCGTTCTGCTATAAAAGAAATCTGTTTGGGTAAAACACAGAAAAACGTACCGTTGTTTGGTATGGAGACCATCCGAACCCCCAATCACGAGTTAAGCACAGATGGTCATGCCTAATCGGTTATGGGTCGAAAGCATGGGTGTCGATACTTACGTAATACCTATTCATCAGGGGGGGGGATGAATGAATAGATCATCCCCCCCCCCCCTGATGAATAGATATCAGTTACGGATCGACACCCATGGTCGAAAGATATGTTTTTTGTAAAAAAATACTAAAATCATTCGTCTCAAAAAATAAAGGTAGTGTATCCCTTTTGCAGCCTACATCGAATTTTGTAGAATTTTGAAGGAATTATGAATATGTCACGTGTATCTATATCTGTGAAATTTAAACGTTAGCGGTGTCCTAATATTCAAATTATGCAAGGAAACCTGTTTACTTTCTAGACTTTAGTGTCAGACACTATTGAGTGACTGACTGGCTACATAAAATGAGCTGTAAAGGGTACATGAGAATTATCCACATCAATAAACCACTTCTTGTAATGGACAAAATTAAGCTGATAAAATGTAATCTTTGCGCAGCACAAAACGTTCGACCACTCGGTATAAGGCTCTGAAAATCAGACTATTTAATTAAACGAGCGTGCTCGCTAAATGCCATTTGACAACTAACGGTCATTATTTTCCCACAAAAAGACATTTTCAAGCCCTTCTGTTTTGAGGGAAATTCTAAATTGGCATTCATTCATGCATCAGATCTTTTGTCTTCTTTGTGCATCGTCAACGAAGCGGATTTAATTCTTTTGTCAACTCCGTTTGTTGCTACGACAGGCAGCAAGTGAGAATGAATTCGTTTAATCAAATTATGGAAACGCAAGCATTACTTTAAACTACCAGAACTTTGTTATTCCGGGTTCATTTTTCCTGATTGAGGTGTCATGCTAAGGGGCAGAAAATGAACTTTCTGGAAATGTGATTTTCTCTTTGAAATTCAGAAAATAGATTATTAATGTATGGCCTTATTAAATCAATTCTTGACAATTTTTTGTTAATCAGGGGCTTTTTCGCAAATCCCCCCCCCCCCTCCGCGACTTAAACGTTCAGATTTCAAACTGTCGCACTGGTATTAATTATTGAAGTTTATTTATTTATTTATCTATTAATTTATTTATCTATCTATTTATTCATTTGTATATATTTTTTTATTTATTCATCTGTTTATGTATTTATTTATTTATTTATTTATCTATTTATTTATTCATTTATTTATTTATTCATTTATCTATTTATTAGCCTATAAGAACTGACCAACAGGCACAGGCTGTAGGAGTTAGTAAACTATAATAATGAATGTACACTATTTACAATATATAAAATAATATTAATATAATGTAGGCCTACAAAGATGATTACAAAGAGATAAGGAAGGAGGGATAAGGATACAGAGGGAGGTAGCAGAGGAGAAGGAGAGACCGAGAGAGACCGAGAGAGAAAAAGTGAGAAAGAGAGAGAGAGAGAGGGTATGGAGAGAGAGAGAGGGGAGAGGGAGGGACTATGAAAATAAAAAGTGGTAGAAAGATAAAGGGTGTTGAGAAATAGAGCCGATAGTGATAACGACAGACAGAGAGAAAGAGAAATAGAAAAGTAGACGATAGACTGATATACATGCAGTGTATGCAACATTCACAAATATAATAAAGTTTGATTCTTAAAGGGGAGGTCCACCCTCGTATTAAGTAGATATTAATAAAGTAGAACAAATAGAGTACACGTCTATTCAGTGAAAGCAGGAGAAGAGTCTCATTGTTTCCAAATAATTTCAATTTATATATTTATTTATGAAGGAATAGCTCTTGTTAACAGATAGCTTTAGTTACAATGTAAACAATAAATGATACATGTGGGGTACGTTGTGGGGTTTTAGTACAATTGCAAATGGGGGATTTCCTGTTAAGATAAATCAAGTCATTTTGTCTTATTGGATATTACTTGGATTGATCACAAATTCAAAATTTCATAACTTTCGTATACTCTTTTCTCAAATTGTAATCACACTTTCCTTGATACCTTCTCTTATTTGTGTGTACATCAATCAAGCCAACCTGAAGCTAGAGTTTACTTACAAATCTAGTTGGTACATCAAAATGTGTAACTATAAGGTACTGTTGACGCAGGAATTAATTTAAGATGATATTGTGTTCATGTACTTATGTAAAGAACAAAATAGGTACCGTCATTTATAATATGTGTTTGGTATATTGATTGCGCTTATAAATCCAACCCATTTAAAAATCATGTTAAACATGATTTTTAAATGGGTTGGAATTTATGTATATTAATAAAGTTTACTTATAAACGTAGATTTGATATTTAATTGTTTATTTTCCACTCGTGTTGTTATCTTCAGAATGTATAGTATTTTGTAGTGTTGACGCAGGAATTATTTTTAAAGATGATATTGTGTTTATGTACTTTTGTCGAGAACAATGCATTTACCGTTGTTTATAATTATTGTGTGCGGTATAGAACAAACGCATTAAAGGATTTTTTTCTGTATTAGTTTGAATTTATGTATATTAATAAAGTTCACTAATTAAATTTAGATTTAATGTTCAATTGCTTATTTCTCCATATTTTTACCCCCTGAATCCCTTACATGAAATATCACAAATGTCAATTACAAGGTTAATTTTTAATACCATTATTGAACTTTGATAACAATAATACAAAATCACAATTGATTCACAAATGACATTATACTGTCTTTCGAATCATATATACGATAACTTAATAAAAAAGGCCTAAGTGATTGACTTTATCTGTCTTGAAGACTATTGTTCTCGTGGGTTTTCGGTCTTGTGGGATGTAGCATTTGGCAATTCCCATTTCATTTTGAAAACGAAAGATTCTTTCCTAACTAGGCTAGTCAGACAAAACCTCCCTGCACTAACGAAGGACTGGATACAATGTGTTAGGTGTGTTTGTGCGTGTGTGTATGTGTGATTCGCTTTTAATAGCCATGTGTGTATTAACAGTAAAAGAGAGGGAGAAAGAGAGAGAGAGAGAGAGAGAGAGATCAGAAAGAAGGAACGTGTGTATACAGAGTCGCTTACCCAAAACATTTAAAAAACAATTCTCTAACTCACATTATTCACCCAATTTAGCAAGAGTGATTGTCAAATGAAATGAGATAATCCTTTATTAATTTTGTGTCCAATTTCATCATCTACACATATAATTTGTATTCACTTTTGTTAACATTTCGATGTTGACTCTGTTTGAAGTTCGTGCCCATGATGATAATCATAATTTATTTTGGAATATGATACAAATAACAACACGAACAACAACGACAAGTACTGTAATAGTAATAATAGTTAGACTATAGTAACGACGACAATAATACATAATGTCTGGCCTAATGATGAAATAATAGGACTAATGTGATGATGGTGACAGAGAGGTGCTTTTAATGATAACAATTTAGGTTATGTAACGTTTTTCATTTTCCCACTTTGGCAGGTCAAAAGGAAATGTGTGCGTGTATGCCTGTGTGAGTGCCAATGATCTCTATGGAAATGTTAGCGTTTGCTGCAAAGTCAACACTGATCTCTTTACGGCTTTCAGTATCCTCTCTCTTTCGCTCTCTTTCTCTCTCTCTCTCTCTCTCTCTCTCTCATCCCAACTTTTGTTAATTCACACTTTCCTTACTATCCTGTCGCCTTCTCCCTCCCTCCCCCTCTCTCTCTCTCTCTCTCTCATCCCAACTGTCGTTAATTCATACATTCCTTCCTATTCTGTCGCCTTCTCCCTCCCTAGTTCCCTCTCTCTCTCTTTCTCCCTCTTTCTATGCCTATCCCTTATGTTTCCTTATTGTTTCCATTCCTTTCAGTCTCTCAACCGGTGTCTCTCTCTATATTTTTCTGACTTATCTTAATGTCTGAGTTTGACCATCTTGCCAAAATGCATATATAAATTTGTCTCGTTAGGCGTCATGAATCGTTATGTTCATCGCACATTCATCCTAGACAATATTAGGTCTCAACTCTATTGTGACAATCATTCCACATAATGGGGTTTGGCTCAATAACTTCTGATTTAAAGCCTCAGGAAATATGCCACATGTATGAGGAGAAAGGCAGCAATTCTGACCTATATTGCATGTATTCTTTTGATTTTTTACGAACATTTTCATGTTAACAATGTAGCAATATTGTGGTTTACACCCAGTAAAAGTTATAAAAGTTAGTGTAGCAATATAAGAAAATGTTTTGATAGTTGCCAATTTGAAGAACAGTATCATATAAATTTAGCTCTACTTATAAATCCTGTCTCTAAATGGATAAAAGGTTGTGATAGTTAGACGAAATACAAAACAAGAAGGTTTTGAACTCTTATATATCTCATGGACAGGCGCGTACGCAGGATTTTTTTCAAGGGGGGGGGGGGGTGTTTAACATTTATAAATCGGGTCGAAAATTTTGCAACGACTCAGCCAGCCGCTGAATAAGCGGGGGGGGGGGGGGGGGGGGGGGGGGGGGGAAGAGGACACTTTTTTTTTTTTTTTTTGGTCTCGAAATTTGAAATTTTGACATTTTCCTCCGTTGGGGGGTGGGTAAGGTCAGCTTTTATAGGTCAGCCATATGAATACTTTTTTTTATTTTTTTTAATAAAAAAATAAAAAATAAAACAAAAAAAATAAAGGGGGGGGGGTTTAGGGGGGTTATGGGGGGTTTACACACAGAAAAATACCAAAGGGGGGGGGTTAAACCCCCCCCCCCCCCTGTGTACGCGCCTGCTCATGGTTACTATCTTTTCCCATTTATTGATACAGCTCATCCGCTATTCTACTACCAATTACACCTGTTTACTAATTTAATGATTATATTATTAAAGAAAGGATTCTCGTGAAAATTCCATCATATATATCAAGTGCGTATACAATTCGATCAACATCACAGCAGAATTTCTGGCTGTACACCCTGTTAACGTAATATATCTTGAAACCGATACTTCCTAGCATTAGTTTCATAACTCAAACAATTCCGTATACTTATAATGTTGAGCAATAATGACAATCAACACTTTAAGAGTGTTCAGTTGTTCAGTCAATGATT